TTACGAAGTCCCCTAAGAAGCAAATAGACCATGCAGTAACGAGGAGTAAATTCTGGCGTAGTTACGAAAATTACATTTCCAGCATTTGAACGCATATTTCTGATCGTGCTGTGAAAGCATGTGCAATAAATCGCGCACACTTTGGAAAGAGAAGTGCAAACACTGACGCATCAATTTTACCGTCAAACCAAACAGGTTCCATACCCTTAAATCTGACACATTGAACATCTGCTCACTCGCTTACCTTTTCTAGAAGAAAATTCGAAATCTGTCCTCCTACGGGTTCGCTGCTCCGGTTGAAAAATATCTCCACGTACTTGCCCTAAATGCGCGTTGTTGAGTCTCATCAAAATCACAAGGATCACGGTCGGTTGCCGGTCTTCTGGTCTTACGAAACGGCTCGAATTGTTGTTTCGCACCGTCTTCGCATTGCCGAATGCCTCCAGCAACGGGTTGCTTTCGATGATTATGTCCTTGATGTGCTGAAAGTTTCAGAAACATAGCGAATGCATCGAAATGATCGGCTTTCGCTGCCAAACAACTGCTTACTTGAACCTGCTCCCGGCCACCGGAAACTTTTGCCAAATAACCCATAATGTACTTGGCACATACTGTCTTTCCTGAACCGCTTTCGCCCCTTGAAAACACTAATTAATCGGTTTAATTGCAGAGAAAAAGGTGACACCGACGTGATGATCACGCTATGATTCTCTTGGTCGACCAGCATGTTGCGGAACATGTCGTCGGCCAAGGCGTAGATGTGAGGAGGGTTTTCGTAGGCATTCTACATGACAGTAAGTGGATCAATTGTTTGCGGTAAAGCCATCGTTGCACACTTACAGCTCCCTGATATAATTCGATCTCACGGTCTGTAAAGTAGTTCATCTGCTTGAAAGGATTGACCGATATCAATACTGGCCCAATGTACGTCTGCAAAATACAAGACGAGATAAATGTAACAAAACAGCGAAACAGAATAACGCTATGAAATGAATACTTCATGTTATTACGAAAATAATCATATTAATGAAAGGCCATTATAAATGTTAGCTAATGATCTGCTTACCGGAAACTTTTGAGATAAAGTGTTTCTGGCCTCAGGAACTCGGAAAAAGTCTTAAAGTTCAAAGAGAGCAAGAGGATCACTGTCAGACTGTAAGAACATACATTTACTTTAAAAAATCAGGCTGATTCTCCTCTAGTGCTGCAAATCCAGCAGCCAAAACATTGTTTAATTCAAGTCTAGTTATTACGCTACAACGCCATAAGAAGCAAACACAATTCGCAACGTTATTGCTTCACTTTATATGCATATGCCGGTGTGACATGCAACACCAGAATAATAAACTTGTTGTCTTGTATGTCAACTATTGGATGCATGTATGACCGATTTACTGTTCAATCGGTCAGCTTTCCAGACAATTTCAGAACAGTATTTAAAATAAAGCGCATATGACGCAAACATGAGTATATAGGAAGCATATAATCGCTGGAATGTCAGTGTTTCTTGCACTTTAACGATGGGGTCATTTCGAAACGCTGATGACGGTATGGGCACTGATCTCCATTTACAAGTCATCAGCAGTTATGCCTTATTTTACAGGCAGAGTCGACAACAGCTATACGATAAGTAAAGTGTGCAGTCTCTTGTATCCTTCTTACAGGATGGACTCATTTATCAACCTCGGAAGGAAGAAAAGCGAGTGACCTAATCGGGCCTGAAACTGGGACTTCTCAATTCTGAGTCTCAACTCCATCGACTGAACAACCCCAGTCTAATCATAAACCTGAGCTGAAACCTGTTCGCTTCCTTGGGTGTTGTTAAAAAATCCAACTTGTCACAGTCTTTCGATACAGTCGAAACAGTTTCATAACAGTGATAAGACACTTACAAATATGGAGTCGTTATAATATCGCTTGCGCAGATTCTCGACGATCGAACTGTCAGAAACGTTTGACAGCAGGACCATGTCCTCCACGCCCGCCGTCACATGGTTTGTGTTCGACTGCCAGTGGTACGGCTAAAGATGACCCAGCTAGAAAAACCGTAGGCTCGGTAGAGGTAAATAGAAATTACCATTTTCAGCAGAGCGGGCTATGTTTACTCTTTACCACCTGCCAGTCTAAACAAAGACATTAATGACTAATTATTTTCCAGATACAGAACTCCGCAAAAAACGTACAAGGCAAATCTTTCGAGTCTGAAAAATACGTTTGTTAAGACTTGTGATTAATATTAAGAACTCTTTAGCAGCCAACGTGATAAACGGCATCTCCGACTTTAAGGTGAAAGTTTACTAGTTAACCAAGATTATAGTAACACCTTGCTCTTAAAGACAAACAAAATAATGGAAGCGGAAACGGCAGAGAATAGAAGTTAGGAATAGGAATAATAACAGTAGTATCAGAAATCGAGTGTTCGAAAAGCCAGCCAGTCAAATAAATGACTGTCACAAGAAAAACAAAGCAACAAAATCATACTGCCACAAACGGTAAAATTCTTGTACATCAATAACTAAATTCATCTACCAATCTTAGTTTCGAACCGATGAATGAACTGTCAATTAGGGTGGTTGAAATAAACCGGAACAAACCTTCTCCCAAATGCACTAACACGAAGATGACCTGAAAGAAACAGATATTAAAAGCGATATGCACAATTTAGGTTGACAGCGAACCAAGCTCAGCAATTCCGTCGTTCAGAACGCCTGAATTCAATCTCAAATAAAAACCGCATATCTTACGACCAAATTTGCGTCTGAGCTATTTAAAATGCCTTCATAAAATGCTATCTAAAACCAGTCATGCAGTGCCACAGCTCATTGAGTCCTAACATATGACTGACATAATCAAACAGAGCATATACGGATTGTAATCATGTTTTCAGACAGTAGAGGAGCATACTGAAAACGGTAACCACACTGTACTGACAGTCCAGTCCAATCCGTCTGCTCAGAATTCTAGCTTAAATATCTTTGTCGTGTTAAACGAACTTGGTGGAAAGGTGGCAAAGAGAGTGGCTTTGAAGTCCGGAGGATCAGGGTTTGAATTCTGAGAAAGACAATATTTGCCTTAACCACTAATTTCTTGAGGAAGGAATTCACTCCACGCCTCGCTTCGGTGCAACCAGCCGACAAATGGGTAGAAAGCCACCAACTTGCAAACCACAAGGACAGAGTGGTGTGGTCCAATCAAACTGGGCGAGAGGGCCAACCATGCTGTCTCGTGCGAGCGCCTCATAGGGCTGTTTTTTGCCTTGATCCACCTGAAGGCTGCTTATTCAATGTAATGACCAGCAGGTATAGCTTATGCTGTTGACTATACTACAGGCATCATCCGCTATCGCTAATTCGTCAAATATCAGTATTGGAATTCAAACAAGACTTTAAGGATAATGCAGTGAAAAGCAATAATAAATACTGCCGAACTTCACCCGTTCATGCAAATCTACACCATTCTTGCTCTACTTGAACGATGAACATAACGCAAACTTTTGGAACAACTTTGCCTCAGGATAAAACAGCAAACTCCGTTTCATTATTGAACCGGATTTCCATCAATATATTTTTCATTTAAACCTGATTCATTCTCACATTGTAATAAGTATACACCGACACGCACACTTGACTATTCGATTGATGCCCAAGAACGCCATAGCTTCGCGTGACGCATCAAGACACTTGGTACATCTGCTGGTTCATGCGGGTCACAAGCAAGAATATGCCGAAGCACAAAAAAATATGGCGTTGAAATCATGATCTGATCCGACATAAATAAAAAAGGATAGGAATTTCGTATTCGTTCGGAAATCAATTCCATTAAAATCGCATTAATGTACTTCTATCATTCAGCTTCCTTTGTGGCGTAAATTTCTCTCTCTCTCTCTCTCGTGATATCAGTCAAGAGTGCTTGAACGTAACATGAAGGAAACAGTTCCAATCAACCGATAACAAGCGCGGCGTGCGGTCTCGGGTTCCCATCTAGCGCCTATCGGTGCTTGTCTAATACCTCAGT